GCACAAGCGGTTGCATTTAATTTAATTGAACATTTTTCATAAGATTTAACAATCACCAAGCAGCAAATTATCAAACCCTAGTTGTTTCACTTAAAGAAATCAAAAAATTACGGATTTGATATTTAACTTAGCGGTAGATTGTAACAAACAACAAACTAGTAGGGCTCCTAACAATTAAACATAATATTCGTGGAAATAAGTGCAGAAGAATATTCAATACTCAAAAAAATGAATTAAACTAAGAAAAACCATTTAGATATCACAATATGTGGTTCCAAGGCTTCAATCTCCTTCAACCAAGTGTAAAAGTTTAGTTACAATTTATGAATTTATGAGCAAAATAATGAAGAATGAATTTTGGTGGCATTCTCACCGTTCTAGGGTTGCAAATCACGTATTTATAGTTGTTTCCATAGGTGGTTAACTTAAATTTCGAAACCAGAATTTTCGTATCGGGAAACACCTATGCGATCGCATAGTAGTAAGTCATGCGGCCACATAGAACATTGAAACTGGGCTCTAAAAATCTCTGAAGGTACTCGTGCGACCGCAAGGAATATTACACTATGCGCCGAATAATTTTGCTAGTTTTCCATCGGACAGTCTTCAATATTTTGGTCATATCTTTCTCTCTTGATATTTAATTTAGGAAAGATTCAAAATGCGTTGGAAAGCTAACTCAAAGGGTTACAAATATTTCAGAAATATAAGTTTTTCAATTCGAACGTTTCCTATGCCAAAAATGGGTCTCAAACTGAGATTGAAAATCAAAAGCATAACATTTTCGACTAGGAGTTGATATGTGATAATACTTTGATTGTATTTCATCCATTTGACATCTTTCTTAATCTGATTGACCTATAACACTTTCAAATCTTCATATGAGGTTCCACATGACTTTTGAGTATTTGCATTTCAATCCCTAAACTTCGTTTTATTTCATTTTGGTCCTTGTTCGTTTATTTCTTCCAAATTACATCATATCCATAGAATTGACACCTAAATCAAAATATGAACGTAGTGAGTACAGTTTGACATTGATTAATCATACGAGCTCATAAAATAAGGAAAGAAAAGTATTCATTTTACATTCCTATCATGAATCAATGTCCACAGGTGGTGATGGTGGATGTGAGTAGGTTACAGTCGATTGGGTTTATGTGACCAAATATCTTGAATATGTGACTGTCAAAGTGCACGGGTCACATGTCAAAGTGCATAAGTCATGAGTCACTAATTCAAAAGATTTGATCACGGGCCATTGGATCAGGTCTTGGGTCATAGATCAAAGAAATGTTCACCTGCTATTGGATCAAGTTAAGGTTACATGTCAAAGTGTACAGGTCACATGTCACGAATTCAAGAGATTTGGTCATAGATCTAAGAGATTTTTTCACATGGCCATAGAATCAGGTCATTAGTCATCCGTCAAGTGCATAGGTCATAAGGTTATGGATTCAAGAGATTTGATCATAGACCATTAGCCCAGGTCACATGTCACAAATTTAAGAGATTTAATCACATGCTAATGGATCAGGTCACATGCTACATGTCACAAATCCAAGAGATCTGGTCACATGCCACTGATTTCTTTAACCTCATTTATTCGAACTGGTCACAAATTCAATTAACCAAATTTTGCTATAACAAGTTCGCTAACCAGGTCTCGCTATCCACTCTCGAATTCAAGTTATTTCCTTTGGTAAGTGCTCTATAAATTACACAAAGAGCTGTTTTTCAATTTTCAATTTTAAATTATACTAGCACTATTCAATCCTAGCCACCGACGAACTCAGTTGTCGCGGAGAGGCCATCAAGGCGATAGTTAGCGACAGGTAGAAGTGGCGATAGTCAGCGACAAGTAGAAGTCGACGAGTCAGCGGCAGGTAGTCGCCGGCAAGGTGATAATCAGCGGCAGGTAGAAGCCGACGAGTAGGGTGGCAGCGGTTGGGGCGAGTGTTTGTAGATTAATTTAATTTGACAATATTATTATTTAAAATTAAAACAAAATAAAAATTTGACTTTTGCATTTTGAAACTTAAATCTCTGAGATTTGACTCAATGCATACTTAATAGTTGAGATATGATTTTTTCTAAGAATGACAACATGACAGGTATGGGACGGATCAGCCATTCCCATCCCTTCCCATCGAGTATTTTTATTACCTTGTCCCATTCCCATACCCGTTTAAAACGGGACGGGATGAGCAGGTCCCATGCCCCATTTATTTTTTATTTATTTTATTTTTTGCTTTTATTTTTTCTAATATCTTTACTAAATAAATATTTTTTTTTACAATTCGTTAGAAAAAACTTGTGTTCTCTCTACAAATATGATAAATATATTATTTTTGTTTGCTATAAAATTTTAAATTTTAAATTAACTTTAAACGGGACGGACAGCGGGGTAGCGACTATAATTTCAGTACCTGCTTCGAGGCAGTGACTCTCGCCCTC